CAGTCTCTTTTATGTTCTATTTGAATTCAGAAGAGACTCGAACTGGACCATAGAGCGTGAAAAACCTCCATCCAAACTTGAGATGATCTAACCACAGCGATACGAGACACGAAAACGAGAAAACAAGACCAGATTTTAACATAATTCCTCACGATTCAGTTTCCAATTTTGACCTCACAATTTTTTATTTCTTTGATTTCATATTTTGTTTCCATCCTAATTAGGGGGGTAACGATATCCAAGTTTTACGATGCGATATTGTCACGGTATGAACCTCACGGTACGATATTTATTGCGATATCACGGGAAAGCTCACGATATGATGATGAGGCTCACGATTAGAGATGTAACAGTATCCAAATCTACAATATTTTCACGATATACATCTCACAGTACGATATTTATTGCAATATTTGTGGAGGCGATCAAAAATGTATGCTGTTTTTTCCTCTTAAAATGCCTCGACAAGACTTAATCCAAAAAAAACTAAGACGTAAAAGTGCTTAGAACTGTTATTTCTTGTAGTCTGCACTGAAATAGAGCAAAGGATCATGGTCTATGTAGTTCCCTCTGTCTTTTTTTATTTAGCTGAGCACCATAACTCTTAATTTAAGCAAAGACACTTGTGGTTCAGTATATTGTGATGGTCCACGATATTATTGAGAGAACTTTGACGATACGATATCACGATATTTCGGTTATTGTTACACCCCTAATCCTAATACTTTTTGGAACTATAAGAGATGTAACTGACCAATACTTAACCCTTTTCTCATTTTTCTCTTGCACAATTTTGTCTCTTAACATCTTGTGGCATGAAATTTTTCCAAACATACTACTCCAAATACATGAAATACTGCAGACCATCTCTCACTATCAGCCCGGTCAGTAGTAGCAGTATCAGGTGAAAGGATTGTGATTGTGAAGGCCGACAGTGTTTGAGACGGAGATCTGAATCATCGATCTGTTTGGTCCCAGATCTGACACGGTCTGTTCGATGGAGCTGTTTTTGGCCGAGGTTCCTGCTCCTCTGTCCTGTCCACACACACTTTATTTACAGTGTACACGCAGCCAAAACATTAAAGGTGCACTGTGTGACTTTTCCGGTGGAGTGTCCGTCAAGTGGTTTTCTCCTTGGAGATGAATTGCTTTGTCTGGAATGTTTCACAGTATGGGATTAAACCTTTCTAGCTTCATGGAGACCAAACCAGACCAAGTTACAAGGCAGATCTGTTCAGTCTGCCTGTTTTTCCAGACATTTTTGAGCTGTAAAACCACCTGTAATTGAATAGATGTAAAGTAGAGCTGTTTAATGTCATACTGTGGAACATTCAGGCAGAGCAGTAACATCTCAGTAGAAACAAGAATGTGACAGACTCTCAACCGAAAAGTTAAACAGTGCACTTTTAACGTTAAAGGGACACTGTGTAACTTTCCTAGAGGAGTCTTTTGTTATTGCTTTGTCTAAAATATTTCACAGTACGGTATTAAACGTTAGCCTGATTCAAACGGTTTCACTTTGTAGAAACCTCTGTCTGTCCTCGGAGCATTAGGATTTGTTCGTTTGACTTTTTAATTTAACCAGTCACTACTATTTGGTCGTGACGTATGTAATGCGTAATGTATGTATTTAAAAAAAAAAAAAAGCGCCGCTAACGGGACTAACTGGTATATTTAAGCTTTTCCCAAATCCCTGTAGGAAGAAGAGCAATAACATTTTCCCTTTTCCACTTTCCCCTTGATAAAATTCACCAAACATCCTTTGTTTCAGCTTTAAATCCTCGATCTCGGAATCATTGACAACACAGAATGTATGGCTCTTATGTGATTGGCTGGTGCCCAGACTCGCACTCCTGGGGTTCTTGCAAACCTTCTAGTGTATTCCGATTCCTGACCCAGTCACGGGAGAGAAATGAAATTGAGTGGAGGTACTAGGATTCACCAGCCTGACTAATTAAACATATCTATCTTGCATTAATTCAATTGAAGTTGTTTTAATGCTCAAATACCTTGAAATACATACATTCTAACTGTGAATGGTGACAACTTTCCATAGATCTGGCCTGTAAATGAGCTAGGTGGCTTCACTTGCTTGTTATTATTTCAATAAACAAGACTAATACCATATTCTAGTGACCTTGTATGGAATTTAAAAACCCAGTGGAGTGCTTACTGTATTACCACAGAGTGTTTTCAGTTTGAGTGAAGAAAACTGAGCCTAAATATGCAGGATTTGTGTGTTAAACGTGTGAATGAAACAAAACACAACTCAGAGTATGTTTGGGATGAGGAAACAACATTATAAGTAGGGGTGTGCAGAAATATCGATATATCGTGTAATTTAATGTGATGATGCAGTATCGATATAATGGGCTGCTGTATCAATATATCACCAAGAGTATTTTTTTGGTATATTTTCTTAAATTATTTTGTGACAGCCCTACAGTTTTGCTGCTTGTTTAGCTGAAGAAAACTTGTTTATGCAACTCATTTGACATTTTCACTGTTTTGATGATTAAAATGTTTGTGTTTCATATGAACTTTGCACAAGAAGTGGTTTAACAAAGAGTTTTAGTATCGCAGCCTTTGATTTATTGAATTGTATCAAACTGATTTGCAATATATTGTATTGAATCGAAAGCTCTCTGTATCGAGTAATGTATCGTATCGTGGCTTATATATCGTATTATAAGCCCTAATTATAACACAGATCAGAAAAATGGCGTAATATGGGCCGCTTAAAGACATTGGAACATGGAAACCAAATGAGGGACTGTATTAGATTTTGATTTATTTTCATGTAGCTCAAAATTCTGCATATAATAATAAATTATACAATTGAATATGATGGACGGTTACCAAAAACCCTCAAGGGCCTTAACACACGCGAACCTCCACATAAGACGCATATATTAGTCTCTAGTAAAACAGTACAACAGTATTTGTACGTGGGAAGATGAGGTACATCAATCAATACAGAGATACGCAGTGAGCTCAAAGGACACGCCGTATAGAAAAGTACAAATATTCAGATATTCATATTCAGACAAGTGTTTTTAAACAGAGATTGTGAAACGAGGGCAGGCTGTTCCATATTTTAATCGTATCTGAGCTGGGGAACAAAGAAGTCATGTTTATGAAATGTATAATCAAAGTCTTACATACTGTTCCATTGTCCTTGTGTATTCTGTGCACACTTTTACCTTTAATTTCAGTTTTTTTGAGCTAAAATTGGTGAATCTGTTATTATTTTTGCAGAAAACAGAAAGAGAAAAGTGTGCCGTGTTGTGTAACTTTTCTTTCTGGTAGAGAGATGTTGTTGCTTTTTCTGGAAGGTCTCACAGTATGGTATTAAATCTACAGTATATATCTTCATGGAGACCAAACCAGACCAAGTTACAGGTCAGATCTGTGGAGAGGCGAACCGACTCACAGTCAGAATGCACGTTTTTCTAGGTATTTTAGAGCTATAAAACCACTTGTAATAAAAAAAAAAAAGAGAGTAGGGCTGTTTATTGTCATACTGTGAAACATTTCAGATAAAGCAATAACATAGAAACAAGCAGGTGACAGGTCCCCAACCAAAAAGTTACACAGTGCAGCTTTAATGAGTGAACTCGACTTCAGTAACATCAATATATTGGCCACAACAGCCGGTCACTGGTTTGAGCTGTAAAAAATCCATATGGGTCAATGTTAAGATTCAGTTCACAGTGCATATTTCAGACATGTCCTGTACCGTATGAGAGGAGACTGAAATATGAACTGCTAAACTAATACAAGAATCACATGCATTACAGAGGTGGAAATTACAGGGTGAGGAGGTTTTAAAAATAACACGGGATCTTTTCTATTTTTCCTAGGAATGCAGTCGCTTCATCTTTTCAGAATTTCAGATTATGACCGTTCAAATTACGTTTTTGATTTGCGATGAGCACATTAATGAAACCTGTGAAATAGGGGTAATAAAAAATATCTAAATACCGTGATATAACCCATGATATTGATACTGTATCTATGCATCGCTCAGGGTTGGTTTGTTTTTTTGTCACTGCACTACAATTTTGTTGCACAAGCGGTGGTTTAAAGGTGCACTATTGACGCTTTCAGACCTTTAGTTCAATTATGTGGTCTAATAAAATTGTTCCAGTGTAGCATATAGACTCCAGTGTGGTCCGCTTTCACATCTGCAAACAAACCAAAATTGGTCCGATTGACGTATATCCACGGCTCCTGCTCGTAACGGGTTCGACTGCACTTCGCCCAGTGTCCTTCCCACGGTGTGCTCAATTCGGGAGTCCAAGCCTGTCCTCCCATGATGCCTTTCAAATAGTTTGTTTGGGCCTACTGTCTATGGTGTAGACCGCGTTCTCACCAAAGGGAACTCCTCTTTTTTGAGGTCTCGGTCCGCTGGATTTAGTGCAGATTTGAGTGTGATTGATGCTTTCACACCAACGAAAACAAATCGAACTAAGAGCTTCTGGTTCGAGTGGGACGTTTGGCGCAGACCAACCGCGGCCGTTGTGAAAGCGCCCTATGTAACTATACTGCTCCCCTACGAATGTTCCACAATATGACATTAAACATCTACCTTATATTTAGTCAATTACAGGTGGTTTTACAGCTCAAAAATATCTAGAAAAACAGACATTCTGGTTGTGAGCGGGGTTGCCTCTAGTAACTTGGCCTGGTTTGGTCTCCATGATGATAGAAAGGTTTAATGCCACACTGTGAAACATTAAAGAAAAAGCAATAACATCTTCATGGAGAAAAGTAGGTGGTGGACCCTATAGCAGAAAAGTTACACAATGCATACAATATCGAGTGAGCCGTATATCGTGAAATGTATTGAATTGTGAGGGACCCTGTTATTCCCAGCCCTAAAATGAAATGATGTTATTCCTTTTACCACTTCATCTTTTGGTTGCCAGTTTCTCCAAAATATATTCCCATATTATTTGCTGTTCTAATCCGTTTCTCCTCTCTCTTTTTCTTTGCAGACATGTTTTCGTGAAGCTCTTCGGCTGGTCCTCCTCTCTCCCTCTGCTCCTCCTCTGCTCCACCATGCCCCCACAGCCTGCCCTCCGCTCTCCCCCCATCGCGCCGCTCTCTCTCCCCCTCGTCCTTCTTCTTCTGCTCCTGCCCTGCACCTCCTCGGTCCCCCTCTCCTCCTCGGCGGCCGACCCTGGTGGCAGGACCGTGTACCGCGCCTCGGACACCTCCTTCACTCACCTCACCGTCCACGCCAGAACCGGTGAAGTTTACGTTGGCGCGGTGAATCGGGTGCTCAAGCTCTCCACCAATCTGACGCTGAGAAGTCACATGACCGGCCCCGTGGAAGACAACAACAAGTGCTACCCCCCTCCCAGCGTCCGAGCATGTGCACACAGGTAAAATTTAACATCTCCTCTGCATCCTCTTCTGTTGTCTAAGTCTTCATCTTTAGGCATTTTGTCTTCCTCAAACTCTATTGCAGAGGTGTCAAAGTCAAATTCACACAGGGACAAAATTAAAAACTGGGACTAAGTCGTGGACCAAAATAAATATTTACTGAAAAATTTCAATAATACCTGCATGTTTTTTCTTCTTTTGAGATATGTAATGTTAAAGCATTTCTTATTAAAATAAATAGTTTTGCTTAAACATTGAATCCAGAACAAGTATAATATAAAATAATAACAAATTTTTAAATAAATAATGTTTCTATAGTCTATCAGTAGCCAGCGGGCCAGCTCTAATACATAATTGATATGATCTCGCGGGCCAAATATAATTATATTGTGGCCCAAATTTGGACACCAGGCCTGAGTTTACATGTCTGCTCTATTGTATTTGGGATTTGATTTATTTTTTTGTTTCACATCAGCATTCCATGTATATATTTTCTTTAAAAAAGTTCTTAAAGGTCTGATCTATGTGATAATGTTGTTTAAAGGTTGTATAGAGGATTTTCCAAGTAAAGAGAAATACAGCGATGGTTTGTTCTTTATCAAATGTTGCGCCTGCGTGACACCACCACCCTCCTCCGCAGCTCCCTAAGTAGAAACGCCTCCTCCCGCCTCCTCCTCACGCTTGTTTACAGCCGGTGCGCGTCCAGAATTGCTGAACGAATTGCTGTTGAAGTTTCCTGTCCAGAAGTCATTTAGCGACCAAAGCGTCAGTCTTTAAACCCTTCGTCTGCTTCAGTGCACACTATCGCTGGAAGGAATCTCCAAGAATCACCTTAGTTTGGCTTCGGTCCTTTTCCCCTTCTCCTCTTCTTTCAGCAACCTCAAAAACAGACTTTCTTTTGCAGCAAACTGCTACTGGATTCTAATATGCTATTGCAAAAAAAATAAAAAATTTAGCTAACTGTAAGAGAATTTAAGTAATTTATCTTCCACGTGCTTCCACCCTTTCTTGGACAAGCTGAAATCTTCTACAACACTAACTGGGAGGAAGTAACAGTTTGAAAAAGCCGCTCCGCTGCTTTGGTTGAGTAAACGGCATCTTGCGTTTGTGGAATGCGTGAGGGGCGAACGTAAACCACAAAATCCCAGCGCGCCGGCAAGTTACGCTGAAAACGTAGGGAGTTTGATAAACAACCTAAGAGGAGCAGCCTTGTATCTATTGGCTGATGTTTAGTTTGCTCCACCACGTCAAAAATTGATGGATTTTCATTCTTTCTTTTCTTTGTCATCGTAATTACAAGTTTGCTGCATCTCTATAATGCTACTTTGAACTTTCACTGACAATTCGAAACAAAAAAAACTTATCTTGTGATGTCATGTGGTAATACAGCAAGTGCTCCATTGTGTTTTTAAACTCCATACACCTTCACTAGAATCATTTGGATAATTTCAGTCCAATCTTTACTGAACAAAAGGTAAAAGGCAGCTGTTATCTTGAAAATTAATAATAAGGATTACTAATTTAATAATAAAGGATTAGTCAAACTTGTGTGAATGAAACAAAACACAACTCCAGGTCTGTTTTTGAGGAGGTAACAATATTATAACATGACTAAAACCTCACAAGAGTCAATTTTGAGTAATATTTGCCCTTTAAAGGAATCCAGACCTTGCGTTTTATAATGGTTACAAAAATTCCAATTGCGTTTTTAACTTGATTCATCTTGCTGAGCTACATCTGATTTTACTAAACTTAAACTATTCAAAAGGTCCTCTCACTGAACCTTAATTGCTCCTGTCTGTACCTCTGTCTGCTTCTCTGGGCTCAGATCTGCTTTAGTGGAGGTTCTGACCTGGTTTTGTGTGTTTCAGGTTGGACTGGTCTGATAATGTGAATAAGCTCCTGTTGGTGGACTACAGCGGTGACAGGCTGGTGGCGTGTGGGTCCATATGGCAGGGTGTGTGCCAGTTTCTTCGCCTGGACGATCTTTTCAAACTGGGAGAACCACACCACCGGAAAGAGCACTATCTCTCTGGAGCCCGCGAGGCCGACGGCATGGCAGGTACGATCAGCGAATTCTCCTTATTTAAAGATGCACTGTGTAACTTTTTGGTTGGGGGTCTGTCATCTGTTTGTTTCTATGGAGACTGTTCTACAATATGACATTAAACAGCTCTACCTTACATTTATTCAATTACAGGTGGATTTATTGCTAAAAAATACCTAGAAAAACAGGGATTCTGACTGAGCGAGCTTGTCTCTCCACAGATCTGACCTGTAATTTGGTCTGGTTTGGTCTCCATAATGATAGTCTTAATGCCATACTGTTAAACACTTCAAGCAAAGCAAAAAACATCTCAGTGGAGAAAAACAGGTGGCGGAACCTATACCAGAAAAGTTACACAATGCACCTTTAAAGTAGGCAGTCACCAGTTATGTTTCATGTGTTTTTCCCCAGATTTTTAAATTTTTCTTCTGAAAAAAAAAAAGCCATGTTTCCCGCGCCTCTTAACCTGGTCCTAAAACCAGGACTAAAACCAGGACTAAAACCAGTTCTAAATCAGTTCTAAATCAGGACTATAACCAGGACTATAACCAGGACTATAACCAGGACTATAACCAGGACTATAACCAGGACTATAACCAGGACTATAACCTGGACTATAACCTGGACTATAACCTGGAATAGAACCTAGAACCTGGACTAGAACCTGGACTAGAACCTTGACTAAACCAGAACGAAACCTGGATTAAAACCTGGACTAAAACCTGGACTAAAACCTGGACTAAAACCTGGACTAAAACCTGGACTAAAACCTGGACCAAAACCTGGACCAAAACCTGGACCAAAACCTGGACCAAAACCTGGACCAAAACCTGGACCAAAACCTGGACCAAAACCTGGTTTGAACCAAAACCTGGTTTGAACCAAAACCTGGATTGAACCAAAACCTGGATTGAACCAAAACCTGGATTGAACCAAAACCTGGATTGAACCAAAACTAAACCAGGACTAAAAACAGGACTAAAACCAGTTCTAAACCAGGTCTACACCCAGGACTAAAACAGGATTTAACCAGGACTTACCCAGGACTAAACCATGCCACGCATCTCCTCCCGTACACTGCGGCTGCTCCTATACGCCGCCAGTCTGTGAAAATATTGTCCTGAAAAGAGCGCGACAACCCCCCCCAAATAAAATATTGTTGTTGAGTCAGTTCCTTAGTATCTAAAGGTCCAGAGTTATTCCTCACTCTCTTTATGCATTCCGAGTATCCTAATAATTCACCAAAATGAGTTTATAAGCTCTTTTCACTACTTTTAGAGGCTGGGCAGAGTTTCCTCTCGGAGCAAAGCTAAAAACAACTAGTATGATAACTATGGACTATGGACTATAAAACCCTGTAGCACAAATTCAGGGCAAATTACCTATCAAAATAGTTGTTGCTAGGTTCAAAAATAAATAAATAATTAAATATGCAGTCATGGGCGGTTCACTGGCGGTGGCCTGTCAGGTGGAGGTACAAGAATCCTGCTCTTGCCTACACAGCATTAGGACGAAGCTTCTAAAATATTCTTGCTTCACTCCTCACCCTTTCGCCGACCCAGCTCCCTCCTCTCAGACGCAGTAGGAGAAACCACTAGATCATCTGTTTTCCGCTCGCGTCAGTTTGACTAAGCTCTTTTGTAGTTTTTGATCCAATCTTCACTCTCATGTCTAAATATTTACGCTGGGCCGATGGAAAAAGGGTGTTTGGGCAGATTTTTGGATCAAAATCACAATGAGCCACATGACGAAGATGGACAAGACTGACAGAAGTGGGCCTTGCTTAGACTGTCAGCACGGAAAATGTATTCAACGAGCAGCTTTCGGTCTCACAACAGATGGTTTACTGTGACAATTTCAATTTAAAAAGTCATTTCAGGTTTTAATAAGGTTTATATTGAACTTTCGTAATTATACTGTATCTACACTGCCAGTCAAAAGTTTGATCTCACCATCTCATTCAATGTTTTTCTGTATTTTTACTACCTTTTACATTTTATATACACACCATAAACTGTATATACACATTTTTTTCTTTTATACAGTCTATGATACATACAGAAGACATCAAATGGAATTATGTAGCAAAGGAAAAAAAGAGTTAAATAGCTGTACTCCAATTTTTAAATACATTTTATATTCAAATCCTTAAAGTAGCCACCCTTTGCATTGTATATTATTTATTTATGATTTATTTATTTTGTTAATATTTAGCTCAGATGCATTTCACTTTTTTTCTTTACTAAATAATTCCACATATCTGACTTCATATATTTCATGTCTTCTGTTGTATATAAAATGTAGAAAATAATTTTTAAAAATAATTTCAATGAGACATTGTGTAGAAACTTTAGACTAGTGTGTTTAAACATGCAAAGGGTGTGACTAATCTGAGCATTTGCATATAAAATATTTAAAAATATATAAAAATATTTACTTAGAGTTATTTAAAGTAATGTTAATATTTGAATGGAATGGTCCACAGTATGGCATTAAGCTCATTTTTCTCCATGGAAACAAACGTGATCCCAGAAAGTCAAGTTACAGGTCAAATTTGAGGAGGTTTTTCAAGTTTTTCATGTATTTTGGAGAAATAAAATCACCTGTTATTGAATAAATGCAGGATGGATACATTTAATGCCATACTGTGAAACATTACAAAGCAAAAATATGCAATTTCTGTTAAAGACAAGCAGGTAAACTGTTCACCTGAAATTTACACAGTGCACCTTTAACTACATAATTACATATATCTTATTTCATATATTTGATGTCTTTTGTAAGTATATAAAATGTAGAACGTAATAAACAGAGAAAAAACACTGATTAAGAGAGTGAATCTAAGCTTGTGACTGATATTTTTTGTGTATTCTGGTCCCTGGACATGGCTCTAGACAGTAGTGAAAGTGTGAGGATTTAAACCAGGGCCAAATCTATTAAAATTCTCAGCAGAATCTCCACGGGGCCTTCTCTCCAGGTTCATGTTTCTCTGTGGGACCAATCTGCTCCTCTGCAGAAGGAACAGGAGAGGCCAGATCCGCTTTACATGACCCTTCACTGTTCGTTAACCACAGAAAATTACATGATTAGCAACCCTCTACTCAATCTGATCTGGCCGACATTTTCCTCCCACCCCCCCATCCTTTTTTTTTTTCTTTCATTATTTTGTTAGTTTTTTGGCAGTGGTGCATTACAGGAAACATTCATACTCAAGCACTCACTGTTATTAAAGGGCCAGCATTAAACTATTTTCTGATCTATGCTATGATCTTGTTTCCTCATCACAAATATACTTGGAATTGTGTTTTGTTTCATTCACATGTTTAACAAAGAAAAAACACAACTCCAGGTTTGTTTTTTGAGGAAGTAACAGCATTATAACATGACTTAAACCTCACAAGTCAGTTTTGTGTAATATAGGACATTAAGTCGCAATACGTGGGCAAATTTGTTAATGTTTTGCATTTGTTACATAAAGCAAAGCAACATTTTTAACATAATACTATTACTTACAAATACCTGCCCGATATGCATGAGTTTCAAAGTCATAAAATATTAGCTCTGTTTCCACAGCAATAAAATAAATTGAAAAGAAACTTAGAATAAGTAAAGTTTTTATTTCCTTTGTCAGGATCTTGCTTCGGGGCCATGGGGCAAAATAAAACAATGCATAATAATAGAAATTATGATAAAATAAAAATAAGGGTATGCATTAAAATAAAGTAAAACAAAAAAAAGACTTTGATATACAAATAAAAAATATGCAAATACAAAACTCAATTCATATTATATTCAAAGTTTTCAAAAGTGATCAGAATGGAGCCAATAAACTATATAAACAATTTAAACAATGAATAAGTGCCGTGTCCAAGTCTTTTTAAAAACTTTTCCAGCTATTCAGTTGTTGATCTGGCTATTTTTACTACTTATTTAAAATGTATTATTACAGTTTATATATTTTTTCTTCTCTTCTCTGCTGTTTCCAAGTAATTTCCCTTGTGGATCAATAAGTTTGTTTAAAATCCTTGTATCATTCGTTTTTCAAAATAAAAACAAAAATAAGAAAAAAAAAAAAAAAACTATTTTCTTCATTATTTGTTTCCAGGACTGAACAAGGACTGAACAAGGACTGAACAAGGACTGAACCAGGACTGAACCAGGACTGAACCAGGACTGAGTTTCAGGATGAGTCCGCATAGAATGTCGGCTGAAGAGGACTGAGACCAGGACTGAGACAGGGACTGAGACCGGGACCAGATCGGAACTGGGACAGGGACCAGACCAGGACAAGATCAGCACTGAGACTGGGACTGAGTCCGGAACTGAGACCGGTTTAATTCTGGCTCAGTCCTGCTTCAGTCCTGTTTTAGTCCTGTTTTAGTCCTGGTTCAGTCTTGGTTCAGTCTTGGTTCAGTCTTGGTTCAGTCCTGGTTCAGTCCTGGTTCAGTCCTGGTTCAGTCCTGGTTCAGTCCTGGTTCAGTCCTGGTTCAGTCCGTATCCGGTGCGGCATTGCAGTTTAAGTCACAGAAACAGGAAACGGCCTGTTTTTTCTATTATTAGTTTAAACACAAAATTGAAAACTGAAAAAACAAATTGTTATCCATTTTTTCATTTTGGTTTGGGAGACAAATAATTAAGAAAATAGTTGTTTTTTTCATTTTCTTATTTTTCTTTTATATTGAAAAACGAATGAATGGATTGTCTAAGTTTAAGTAGGTTGTATCTAATCTCTCTTTTTCTTACCTCCAGGTGTTGTTGTGGGCGACGAGGACCTGACCTCTGACCCCCGCAGGAAGAGGCCGGTCAAAGGCGGAAGTCGACTCTTCATCGGCGCCGCCATCGACGGGAAATCCGAATATTTCCCCACGCTGTCCAGCCGCAAACTAGTATCAGACGAGGAGAGCGTAAACATGTTTTCTCTGGTCTATCAGGACGAGTTTGTCTCCTCTCAGATCAAAATCCCGTCTGATACTTTGTCCTTGTATCCAGCCTTCGATATTTACTACGTCTACGGTTTCTCCAGCCGCTCCTACGTCTATTTCCTGACGCTTCAGCTTGATACGCAGTTGACGCAGATGGACGCTGGTGGAGAGAAGTTTTTCACCTCCAAGATCGTCCGAATGTGCTCCAATGACACTGAGTTTTATTCGTATGTGGAGTTTCCGCTGGGCTGCACCAAAGACGGGGTGGAGTACAGGCTGGTGCAGGCCGCCTTCAAACAGAAACCAGGCAGGAAGCTGGCCCAAGCGCTCGGGCTGAGGGAGGATGACGATGTGCTGTTTGTGGTCTTTTCACAGGTGAGAATTTGGAATCCTTTATGTATGTTTATTTATGTATTTGTCACATACACAAATGCAGTACAGTGTGAAGTGAAATGCCATCCAGCAGCATAAATATATTCAAAAATACATTAAATATACTGGCTAGAATTTTGAAAGTATGGATACAGATACTAATAAGCTCTGTGCACAATAACTACTTCTTGTCCAGAGTTTTTTAATATATATAAATATTTAAAGGTGCGTTGTGTAGCTTTTTCGATGTAGGGTCTGTCTTTACTTTTTTCCATAGAGATGTTATTGCTTTGTTTGGCATGTTCCACAGTATTAGGGGTGTGCAAAAATATTAAAATATTGACATATCGTATCGTTTAATGTGGTGGTACAGTATCGATATTGTGGGCTGCTGTATCGCCAAGAGAATTTTTTGGTATATTTTACTAAATTATTTTGTTACAGGATTACAGTTTTGTTGCTTGTTTAGAGGAAGAAACTCATTTATGCGACACATTTGACATTTTCACTGTTTTGATGAGTAAAATGGGTGTGTTTCATTTTAACTTTGCACAAGAAGTGATTTAACAAAGACTTCTAGTGTCACAGCCTCGATTTAGCCTTTATTTTTTATTGAACCGTATCAAATCGATTTGAAATATATCGTATCAAATCAAAAGCTCACTGTATCGAGTTATGTATCGTATCATATCCTGGCCTGTGTATCGAGGTATGTATCGTATCGGCAACTTCTTAATGGCACCCAGCCCTACACAGTATGATATTCAACCTTTCTAAATCAGAGACCAAACCAGGCCAAGTTGCAGGTCAGATCTGTGGAGAGGCAACCCCACTCAGTCACAATGTTTGTTTTTCTAGTTTTTTCGGAGCTATAAAAACCACCTGTAATTTAATAAATGTAAGGTAGAGCTGTTAAAGTCATACTGTGGAACATTCCAGGCAGAGCAATGAGATACCCTTAGAAACAAACAGGTGACGGACCATGGATCTATTAAAATAAGTGGATAGGGTGTTGCTGCTTGTAGTTGTTTTGAGTTGGCGTAGTGGACACTCACAGGAACTTGAGTGAAAAAATAGCTTCTGCCCACAAAGGATTTTCCTCACAGAGCGCAAAGTAATCACAAACCGCTAGTGTTCGGCTGACAGAGCACCTACAGCTTTCAAAAATGTCAGATTTTGTGGCGATTTTTACCTCTTGAGACATACGCCATTGAGCTTGGGCGGCCATGTTTAAACCCCGGGGCTTGTGACGAACACTACAAAAAGTTACGCAGTGGACCTTTTAAAAATAAGATGATGAACAGGGAGATGGGGGTGATGTTACTGACAACATGTTAAAAAGTTCACAAACAAAACAAATACTTCAGCCGAGAGATTGTGTTTAGAAAGAGAAATGTCTGTCTCAATGCTAATGCTAATGCTAATTTTGAGACATAATAAATATTACAACAACACCACAAACAGAAGTTTTCTACATATCAAAATAAGTGGACAGTCTTTATTTTAAATTATTTTAATTTTAATAGCTGCTTTATTTTATATTTTATTAATTTAATAAAAGTGACTGTTAGCTTAGAGACACAGTGAGCTAGCTAGCTTGCTAATGTGCACTCAAATTAGTACTAAAACAGAAGTAGTCTCATTTAAAGTATTTACACTGAAAAAACAAATTACATTGGACAAAAATTTACCTTTTCTGATTAGTTTTAAAATGAACTAGTACTAATATGTGTTCGTATGGTTATGGTAATGTATGAAACTACTATTTTGCTTTTAACTGTCTCAGAAAATCACATTTTTAAGTATCAAGCCTCATCTTTAGTGTTGAAATTGAGTTTGAAAGTTTACCCAATAGTGATGTCAAAATAACTGCATTCTTTACAAATACAATTAAGTTTCCGTTCCATCAGTTACAAAACCGTGACAAAAAAATTACATAAACGTACAAAACTTTGGAACAAACCCACTCCTCTAATCAACACTGGGTTTAAGACATGAATCACAAAACATTACTGATGAATTACTGTTGTTTCGTATCAGATGAGTTGTGACTAATTGTCTTAATTGTTTCAAATAATCATGTTTTCAGTTCTAATCCAAATAAGCACGGAGGTAATTTTCTCTTCTCCATTTTAAGCAGCCGTAAATAGTCGTCAATAGAGATGTGACAGTTTAGTTATCGGCATTAAATCTCCAGCGCAGGCCGATATTTTGTTTTGGTCAATTTGCTGTTTTAAAATACACACAAAGCTTTATTTTAACTCTCTAATAGAAAGAGATAACTGCACTAAATGTGGCTACATAGCTCTCTTAAAGGTTTGTGGTAATAAAGGACTGGAAAATAATCAAAATCTGCCCTATATATCGACCCAAAAATTATCGGCATTAACTGCTCTTTATTCTAGGCAAGGCAAGTTTATTTGTATAGCACAATTTGTACACAAAGTAACTCAAAGTGCTTTACAGAATAAGAAATTATGTAAAATTACAATACAAACAAATCAAAACTTTAAAAAAATAATCGTCATTAAATTAAAAGAGAAGAGAATCTGTATTGCATCAACCATGAAAAAACTCATATCGTTCGATCTCTTACTGATACATCAAAATTATCATCACTGTATTGAAATGTACCGTATTGGCCATATAAGATTATAAATGCATAGAGAACTACATTACCCATGGTCCTTTGCTTTCAGTACAAACAGCAATAAGTATGTATGAGTTGTAGTCTTTATGGTCTCAGTCTGAGGTTAGTACTGGTGCTGATCCTGGTCTTCATCTGGTGTTTAGGGTCAGAAGAACAGGTCTAACCCGCCCAGAGAGACGGTCCTGTGCCTGTTCACGCTCCATGACATCAACCTGGCCATGAGGGAGAGGATCCGCTCCTGCTACCGAGGGGAGGGGCGCCTGTCTCTGCCCTGGCTGCTCAACAAGGAGTTGCCATGTATACACACGGTGAGTACCACACAATATTCCCCAAGTACAAGGACACTGCTTAAAGGTTCTATACTATGCAAAATTGATTCTTATGAGCTGAAGCCATGTGAGAATCCTGCTGCTCCCTCAAACAGACCTGGAGTTGTGTTTTGTTTTATTCACGTGTTTGAGTAATCCTTTATTATTAGTCTTGTTTACATCTCCAAAGCTCAAAACGCTCTGTTCCACCTTGTGATGTTATGTAGTAGTAGTTTTGAAGTTAACATCTATTTTTAACCTTTTGTTTAGTAGATATTGGCAACTCCAGGGCTGAAATTACTGTATTTTCCGGGCTATTAGGCGCTCTGGATTATAAGGCGCACTGTTATTAAATGGTCTATTTTCGAACTTTTTTCACAAATAAACCGCACTGGACTTTAAACGAAACACAACAGTTAAAGGTTTTATAGAGGAATTTCCAAGGAATGAGAAATCCAGCGACTGTTTGTCCTTTTTCAAATGTTGCGCATGCGTGAAACCACCCCCCCTCCCCTACAGCTCCCTACGTAGAAACGCCTTCTCCCGCCTCCTCCTTACGCCAGAAACAGGTTTGTTTACAGCCGGTGCGCTGCACATGACTTGTAAACAACTAACTACAGTGTTGGTTAGGCAAGACGGAGAAGTGAGGAGCGGGAAGAAGAGCGGAGCAGGGAGAGAGGAGAGGAGAGAGGAGAGGGGAGCGGTGCGCGGAGATTCCGTGCCCGGAGAAGTGAGGAGCAGCAGGGGAAGAGCGGAACGGGCAGCGGGGACAGGAAAGGGGTGCAGAGAAGGTTGCGCAGAGATCCCGTGCGAATGAACTAGCTACAACACGCAGCAGCAAGCGGACTCTTTCTTTGCCTTGAAAATTACGTTTTCAGACATAGGATATCGCTTTCCTGTCCTGAAAAACGTTTGACTAGCTCTTGGAAATAAAGTACGTTTTCATAATAAGCAGAAGTTTCCTGTCCAGGAGTAATTTGGCGACCAATGCGTCAGTCTTTAGACCCTGCGTCTGCTTCAGTTGCGCCATCGCTGGAATGAATCTATAAGAATCACCTCAGTTTGGCTTCGCTGCTTTTCCCCTTGTCTTCTTCTTTCAGCGACCTCAAAAACGGACTTTCTTTTGCGGCTAACTGCTCCTGGATTCTTGTCTGCCATTGCAACAAACTTTGTGCGAACTGCGAGGAAGATATAGGTCAAAAAAAGCCGATAAGAACTGTTGCGTTGGTGGAGTAAACAGCGTCTGTGCGGCTTGCGTCTGTGGACTGCGTGACAGGCGTACGTAAACCACGTACCGGCGGCGCGCAGGCAAGTCAGTTACGCTAGAAACGTAGGGAGATTGATTGACAGCCTGTCAGCTAACAGATAACGAGGCAGTGTCGTTACCTATTGGCAAATGTTTAGCCCCACCACGTCCAGAGTTGATGAATTTTTATTCTCTTTTTTTTGGTCATCATAATTACAAGGCTACTGCACCTTTATAATGCTATCATTGACAATTTGAAAAAAAAAAATCCTCCATACAACCTTTAAATGGCTCAGTGGGACTTTGTTTGGCGCGTTCACGGTGACTCTGGGCTTTGTTCAGTTGTGGCGTGTAGGGAGGGTGCTGTCTGGGACCGCTGGATTGTCGGCGTGTTCGCAGTGACTCAGTTGTTCAGTTGTGGCTAGAAGTGGCACATTGCACTCGCTTTTTCTTTTTTTTTTCGTTCCTCCTTTCCACTCCTCGTCCGTGTGGAGTGATGAGTGTGGGTGGTGCGGCTTTGTAGTTTACTGAAGTCGTGCTAGGACACCTGAGTGGATTCGTGTATAGGACGCTCTGGATTGCGGGGTGCACCATCGTTTTTTGATGGGGTTGGAGGCTTAAGAGCGCGTCTAATATCCTGGAAAATATGGTATACAAATGATTCTAGTAAAGGTGTGTGGAGTTTAAAAACACCATGAAGCACTTCCTGTATTATTGACATCGCAATGTGGAAGAGAATGTTTTCTGTTTGAGGGTCTGTTTACACGAGAACGTTGTGGGTAAAAACGACAAAATATTTAATCGGAAGTCCCTTTCGTTTAGACGGTGACGGCATTTTTGGGGCTTAAAAACGCAAAAATCTGAAACCACCCTCCAGAGTAGAAAAGATGAATACGCTCCTCCATAGCATTTCCATCTACACTGCTCAAGACGCAAAACTCAGGTCAGATCTGCTCATGTTGTGTACGCGTTTACGTCACATCACCATCACCACCGAGCCGCCTGACAGGCATACCCAATCGAATTCCACACACTTTTGCGTCACCGTATGCACGCTGATTTCCTCCCAAAACACTCGTCAAAACACGGAATAAAAAGTGAAAACACGACACCACTTTTGCGTTTTCTGTTCAGACCGTCATCATATAAATGTAGCCTCAGACTCACTCAACATAAATGAAACAAAACACAAGTCCAGGTCTGTTTGTGATGAGGAAACATTATAACATAGATCAGAAAATAGCATAATATTGGCGCTTTAGCCTTGAAAAAAATACACTTACAGTATAATAAGTATGACTACCAAGGGATAAAATGTCCTTTGGAAACCGAGTGCTTTCAACTGACTGAATACCTTCCCAAATTTGAACAAAAGCAGTCATATTTTTCACAGCTCCTAAGTGACAGATAAAAGCCTGGGTAATGTCATAATGTTGTGTCTGGACTGTGATCTGAGCAGAGCGTGGCAGTCCCTCCAGCTTCTGTTTTCAGTCACTTTTCTCTGCTCCTGTTTGGCCTGAGTTTGTTTCTCCTATTTGGACCTACCCCTGTGAGTGTGTGTATGTGTGTATGTGTCTCTATCTCGGCGTATGTGCGTGTGTATGTTTGTGTACGATGTGTGTGAGTGTGTGTGTGTGTGTGTGTGTGTGAGGGACTTTCCCCCTGAGCTCAGTAATAACAGACTGGTTCCACTGCAGCACGTGCTCTACTCTGTCATTAAACTAACTCCATTGAGGGCAGACCAAAACAGACCAAAACAGACCGACAAGGACCAAATCGGACCAAAAAAAATACAATACTGACGAAAGTAGACTAAAATAGATAAACACTTGAGACACAAATGCTGACTTCTAAAGTTATAAAGACACAAATCACATTATTAGGCCATTTAATTCAGCTTTATTTAAAAATATCTCATTATGAGGCCATTCAATTCAGCTTTATTTAAAAAGAACATTTCGTACAAAACTGCAATTCAGGGCTGCAGCTAACAATTATTTTTGTATTTGACTAGTCAAACAATTATTTCTATTACAGTCTGAGAATTTTTTAATACGTCAACTTCAACAGGTTAAAGGGCCCATATTAGGCTGTTTTCTGATCTATGTTATAATTTTGTTTCCTCATCAAAAACATGCCTGGAGTTGTTTTGTTTCATTCACACAGAAACCCTGCATATTTAGGCTGGTCTCAAACACCCTGATCCTCCTTCTGATGTCATGTGGTAATAATACAGAAAGTGCTCCACTGTGTTTTTAAACTCAATACACTTTCACTAGATTAATTTGTCTTATTTCAGCCCTAGAATTTCCAATCTCTACTGAACAAAAGGGAGATGTCGATGTATTTATAGGACTTTTAAAGGTAGAAACATAATGACTGAAGGTTTATCTTTATGAATAAAATGTATTATTGTTGAAAATCAGAATGCAATTTATTATTTTTAGACATTTAGATTTAACCTTATTAAAAAAGTTGTTTATCTATTTTGGAATCTGTATACTCCAGATCATTGTTTCCAAAAGACTGGGTCGCAAGAGATTTTTTTGGGGATTCGCCTTGTCATGATCTGCATGTAGGTCTGAAAATATACAGATCTGATACATGAGATTTTCTGTGCTCATAAAAATTAAGACAAAGCACAGAACCAGACTGAATGCTGCTCCTCCTGCACCCCGGACTGGAACGCGCTACAAAAACACAGACAGGCCCACTTATCTCATTAGAAATGTTGAAATGTTTAGACATGTTTTCTATAATTTGTAATCGTTTTGTAATTATTTTATTGACCATTTCATTCCAAATGTTGCTGGTTCAATTGAATGTTGAAAAGAAAAAGAAATGGGCCACATTTAATGTCCAAATTAGCGACTTATGGATCCTTTTTATTGTTCCTGTTTTTCATTGTTTAAAACTTGAGTAATACTAACTGTTCAGAGAGACACAATCACTCAGTCAACAATAAAATATCCTCATAATAATGGTCAAATCCAACTTTATTTTGTGATTTATGAATAATGTCTATTGACTTGGGTCGTGAAGGTTTGTGACTTTTAAATTATGGGTCCCCAGGAAAAAAAGTTTGGGAAACACTGCGCCAGATAACAATTGCTATTATCAAAATAAGATAAACTGTGTACAATATATAACTTCTATAGATAATTATTGGTTCATTCTGATATTAATTTGTTGCTTCTCAGGCCTTATAATAAAAGTCTCTATTTGAAAACTGGTTTACTGGGATTATCTTACGACTCAATGTTATTGTTATTGAGTCAGTGGCATTAAGTAGTTTAAATATTGTCGTTTATCTCAATATTTCACTGTAGCAATCAAACCAAAATGGCAACCAAGGTTCTAAGAAAATGTTAATTACTTTTTAAATGTCTTTCTTTTTACCTTTTTGCCTACAGCTAATCAACACCTACCGGAGTTGTATCTGCTGTACTCTGTCATTAAACTAACCCAAATCGCACACAAAACAGCTCAAATTATACCAGACAGAAACAGACTGGAGCTCGAGTAAGCCCAGGCGCTGACTCTGCAGCTTCTGTTGTCATAAAATTAACGCTTGTTGCCAACTCCAGCAGAAATCTACAGAACGAGCCACTGCAGCATTTATTTTTCATGATTTAATTGTGAATGTGAAATGATTTAAAGGTTCTATATTACGCAAAATTGACCCTTGTGAGCTTTAAGATACGCTATAATGCTGTTGCCGCCTCAAAAACACACCTGGAGTTGTGTTTTGTTTCATTCACACGTTTGAGTAAACCTTTATTTTTGATTTGTCTGCATCGTCAAAGCTCAAAATGCTCTGTGTAGTTGTAGTTTTCCAGTTAACAGCTACGTTTTGCCTTTTTTTTCAGCAGCGATTTATAATTCGAGGGCTGAAATTATCCAAATGATTCAAGTGAAGTTGTATGTAGTTTAAAAACACTGTGGAGCACTTCCTGTATTATCAGTGTGAAGAACTGTGAATGAAACAGGTTTGTGATGAGGATACGACATTATAACAGAGATCAGAAAATAGTGAAATTACGGGCCCTTTAAGTTAAACACACTGCTCAAACTCAAAAACTATAATAAAAACTAAATGTCAAAACTAGAAATTTCTGGTTCAGTTCACCACAGTTATATTTAATGTAATACCAGCCTGTATTTTGCCCTCAGCAGAGCCACAGAAAGCACCGCTATCCTTCAGAGCCACATCTTTGTTTTCCTCTACCCTAAATTTTATCTGTAACTTTAGCTCGTTTTGGTTGGGGAAAAATGTGGAAACTCTGCGTTATCCAAACAGCCGAGGATTGTGGGAGTTGTAGTGAATGGACTGCAATAACAGAATGACCATGCAATTTCTTTCACAAATGTTCACTGCTAAATCATTTAACATTTTGCCATCAGTTAGTCATTTTCTGGTGCCCTACGCCACGACAAAGCATCTAAAGCACTTCTTATTTTTTTCTTCAGACATCTTTTGTTTTCTTCAAGTCATATTTGGCATTGTGATTTTTGATATGGCCATGACAATAATCTTGTCTGTACAAAAACATAAATATTTTTTTTAGAGATGAGTGATTGTGCTTTTTCAGTTTACCCAATATCAACCAAAACTAGGGCAGAGACTGAAAATAGCATGTATTTCTTTTAGGGGTGTGTAAAAATATCGAAATATCAATATATCGTATCGTTCAATGTGATGATACCGTATCGATATCGTGGGCTGCTGTATCGATATATCGCCAGGAATATTTTTTAAGGTATATTTTACTAAATTATTTTGTTACAGCGCTACAGTTTTGTTGCTTGTTTAGAGGAAGGAAACTCATGCGACACATTTGACATTTTCACTGTTTTGATGAGTAAAATGTTTGTGTTTCATTTTAACTTTGCACAAGAAGTGATTTAACAAAGACTTTTAGCATTACAGCCGTGATTTAGTCTTTATTTTTATTGAACCATGTTGAATCGATTTGAAATATATTATATCAAATTGAAAGTGCACTGTATCGAGTTATGTATTGTATCGTGGCCTTTGTATCGAGATTTGTATTGTATCGGTAACTTCTTAATGATACCCAGCCCTAATTTCTTTAGAACACAGGTAAAATAAATCCAAATGATCCAAATGTATTTTTTAAACTACAGAACCTGCTTATAAAAATATAAGTTTAATAATATGAGGTGTTTTGGACCAACATTGTCCAATAAATCATCTATTTACACCTATTTTTAGACCAAAATGGGATACTTCTGAGCCAATATTTTGGAAGATGGTACCTAAACCACCAAAATGTTCAATATCGGCATCAATACTAGTATCGTATCTGTGCATAGATCCCACGAATATATTGGGCCGATATGAATCTGTTATCAACCTTAAATCTCCAGGGCAGTGTGATTTTTTTGTTTGGATCAACCTGCTGCCTAAAGAGCACACACAAAGCTTTATTTGAACACTTTATTGCAAATGGACAACTGCTCAAAATGTGACTGCGTAGCCTCTTGAAGGTTTGTGATAAAAAGGGACTGGAGGTGAGTAAGTTAGAATTGCATCATTTGACGAAAATTGGCGATGGGTCTCTCTGGATTCTAAACCATCGGCATCAGCCATGAACAAAAACATATCTGTCAGCCTCTAATGTTTATCATTTTTCACCCCAATATTTACTTGGTGTTCCTTGTTGTGTGTTTTTCAGCCAAAGCAGATTGGAGATGACTTCTGTGGCCTGGTGCTGAACCAGCCTCTGGGGGGGCTGCGTGTGATCGAGGGGCATCCACTGTACGAGGACCGCACCCAGGGCATGGGCGCTGTGGCCGGGTACACCTACGGAGACGACACGGTGGTGTTTGTGGGCACCAGGACCGGACAGTTAAAGAAGGTAAGAGGATAATAGAGAGCTGGGACTATAGGGAGACTGATTTGTTTACAGTAGAGATGGATCAGCCCATATTTACCCTCTACCATCCTTATCTTTTACGGACAATATTTTATTTGGGCCAGCCAGATGCCTAAAGAGCTTCAGTACAAATAATAAAAAATGAAATAACACAATTTTGTATGATGTAGGCCCTTTCATTGTCACTTTGCCCATCAAAGCAAAACAAAATCACTGTGTTCTACGCTCTGATTGTATTGTTGTATGGTTATTTATATGCATACCAGTTTAGATCAGATCATGCATGTTTTCATCTTCAACAAAGCATTGCCAGATAGTGGAAAATCAAGATTATGTTTGGAATTCTGAGTTGTTGTTTTTCCTGTAGTAGCCTGTGCAGTTGTTCAGCCCCAGTCTCATGTGAGTTTGAATACATTAGATTTACAGTTAAATCAGGAGATGCAGCTTCTACTTATGACGGAAGACAGAAACTAACACAGACTAACCCAATCTGACAGGAATGTGGCACAAACATCTCCTGCTTTTGGACTTGAGTAGCTCTTAATGGACCTGAAGTTATTTTTACGTAAACGTTTGACTTACTGTGTAGTTAGCGGCTATTTTTTACTTCTGTTACACTTAATGAAACCAAAGCAGCTACATCCTTGTTTAACATTTAAATACCAAACACTGTAACACCAACTTCTGACCAATTAAGGGCTTGGATTTTTTAACATTTTTAAAATGAAGCAATAAATTCTGTCTAAATAATATAAGAAAAGTAGGGCTGTCAACATTAACACCTTAAACTATGCGATTAATCAGAACAAATTAATGTCCATTTTGACCAATTACACATGTAACTTTACCTGACAAGAGATCATGGGTCTATAATAAAAACTGGATAAGACCAGGCTGGTGCCACCTAGTGCCTCCGCTCAATTTAATTTCTCTCCAGCGACTAGGTTATGGTTTGCAGGAACCCCGGAGGTTGTAGACCGCTCACTGACCAATCAGTAAAGAGCTGTGAAGCCATGACGTCAAACACACGCACCTGTCTGGGTCCCTTTTGTGGTACAGCACAACAGTAAACAAAGCGGTTGAGATGGATGCAGACGAAGCCATATAATCTGTGTTGGCAACAATTCCTGAGATCGAGGATTTAAAGCCGTAACAAAGAGAATGTTTGGTGAATTTTATCAACGAGAAAGACGTCATTGCCCTTCTTCCGACAGGATTTGGGAAAATCTTAATATACCAGTTTGCCCTATTAGCGGTGCATTACATACATCACGACCAAATAGCAGTGATTGGTTAAATAAAAAAGTACCCGCCTACAGTCAAGCGAACGAATCCTAATGCTGCGAGGTCAGAAGCTACTTCCCCCCTCTGTGCCGGCTCAGAACAGACTAGTGGTCGCTCCAGGTACTGCAGTTCCTGGGAGCTTTTGCACAGAAATAATTCTCCCATAGAGCGCAATCAGAATTTTGGGTGGGAATTCAAACTGCCCGTGTTCAGCTGACAGGGCACCGACAACTTTCATAAAGGTTGGATTTTGTAGGGATTCTGTTCTATTTTCACAACATAAACTTTTTAAACCCTCAAAGCGCCTAAAATTTAGCTTCATATAACTTAGCCTAACCCCTTTCTGAGCCCGTGCTCACACCACTCTAGTATCTCTCGCCCTGATTGGTCCAAACGCTCCACACCGTGCATGTTATAGACTTTACACAGGTAGGATGCGCTCGCTCATATTGAGGAAGTAAATGCAGAAGAGAAAATAATGGCGACATTGAGCACAGGCCACTGAAAACAATACGACGCCATCTTGGGTTCAGATTTTATTATAGTTCTATGCAAGAGATAGTTGTGCTCAGGAGCTGCTCTGTTTTGCACTATACGAAAAAATATGGCAGATTTCCATGGCAACAGATGTTTTATGACTTATCATCATAGGGTAGCTCCATCGATTCTGGCTCCCATTGACATTACGTTGAAAAATCATCACCCCTCTCTCTAACTGCTACAGTGAACCTCTGCATTTTGGTCTAAAAATGTTCATATTAACCCGCTCTATATGATCCTGGTGTTTTTATTTCACTGTTTTGTCCTTAATACGGACCTGGCTCTAAATTCATTCCAATAACTGCTAGCCTCGTGAGCTTCGTTTGACTGGAGCCGAACGCTGCAGGTGACGTCACGCTCCCTCAGCCCACTCCTTTATACAGTCTGTGCGTAACATCCATCTCTATTGTGCCTCATAAATGTGTGATTGACAGCTGTGTTGACACTTGAGGGAGCCAGTCAGCTTCCTCCGTCTAAAACTGTGCATATTAAACAATCAATGCAACAGGTGTCCCCTTCAAACTCATTAATTTCATGAAATATTCTCCACTCCTCTTTCTTTCTCTCCGTCTCCTCTCTGCTCTCCCTCTGTCACCGATATTCTGAATGCGTTTTCTCTGGAGCCATTCTTTTGCAGCTGTGGCGCACTCTTCCTCCGATTCGATGAAGAAAGGAGCTGATTGTCCGTCATTTCCTGAAGTCGTTAAACTCTTTGTGACTTGACGAAGGCAGCGGGCTGTGGGCCAATCAGAACGCTCGGGTTTTATCATCTGTAATAACGCTGTTTATTATGGCACCTGCTGCTTCTTCATCTGCGTTTGATACAATTAGAATTATCATTACCCACCTGTCACCGCTTTATTAGAAATATTCACAAATGTCTCTATGGAGAATGACGATTTGCATAGATTTGGATATAGGTTTCAACTTTTGAACCAAACCAGACAGATGTACAAACTAAAATAACTGTAGGAAGTTTGTTGTATTTGTCAAATGTGTATTATTTTTACAAAATCTTAGATTATTTACCATTGAAGTACAGAGAGAACTGTAGAGTAGGGCTGCTCGATTATGGAAAAAATCATTATCACTATTATTTTGATTAATATTGAAATCACGATTATTCAGACGATTATTTTTTTAGTTACATGATGCATTTATTCAGCATTTCTCTCTCAAAAAAACCCCACTTTGTTATTGATAATTTACACAAAACTTTCAAAGTAGATAAAAAAAAATTAAAAATAGGTTACAAATATGAACGTTAGAGCAGTTTTGCGATGTATAAAACATAAAATGAATAAAATATACTTTGAACATGAAATAAGGCGTAGAAAAACATAAATGCATCCAAAATAAACTATATATCCAGCTGTTCTCCAGTCTCTGTATTTAAAAAGTAAAATAAATATACTTGTTTATATAAAAAATATCCCAAAATAAACTTGTTTCAACTCGATGATATGAGTTTGGAGATCGTTTGACACACAAAATCGAAATCGCAATCAAAATTCGATTAATTGTCCAGAACAAAGCGTCTTTCCTGCTGCAGTACCTTTAAAGCTGCACTGCGTAACATTTCTTGTGGAGGGTCTCTGTGTATCACAATGGAGACAAGCATTTTACAGCTACATTACTATTCAGATTTGTGGAGAGTCGCCCGTATTCACAGAAGGAATTGTCTTTTTGAGCAGCAGAAACACACGTGATGAATAAATAATGCTTATGGTAAATGTTAAAGTCATACCATGGGACATTCCAGGCAAAGCAGTAACATGTGTTGGACCCTCCCTTCAGAAAAATGCACCTTTAATGCAGTTTGATAAAGAAAGACTGCCCCTGAAAATATAATTATTAATGATTGTCTGACCAGTACGTTTATAGAGACGTTTGGTCGGGACCTGAATCCCTCAAATGTGCAGGACTGATAAACCGATCGGAGAAACACACACGGCAACTTCTAAGTAAAAACAAAAAAAATATATAAGCACACAGCAGAAACAGAGCGGATTTCAGAATGTAGAATCAACAAGAGAATCACTAAACTCTAAAGAAACACTAAATACTAAAGAGAATATTCCACATTTGAGATGCACCTGCTACAGTTTGCAAACCTCCCTGAATCAAACCCGAACAGGCTCTTACCAAGCAAAAATATTGTTGGATTAAAAAAAAAAAAAACAGCCTTTGTCTGTATAATTTTAGCTAGATCTAAGCCAGTTTTAGACAGTTTATATTTTATTACTTATTTTTCTATTTTTTTTTAACTTGTACATTTAAATTTATATAATTATGTCTTATTTGACACCTGTCTCTTGTTATGTATTTATTTATTTATGCTTCTTATTTAGAATTATTTTACCATTTATATTTTTGCTCTTTGTTATTATATTTATTTATTTATTTATTGTGATGTGTGAGCTATCGTGTTCAAATAATTTCCCCTGTGGATCAATAAAGTTTGTCCAAGTCTAAGTTTAGTTTGAAACAAAATGGATTCAAAAATCGTATAATCAATATTTTGGTCACATATTTTACTAACTTTTTGTATTAATATTTCATTTCAAAGGCATTTTTGAGCAGGAAATTGGGCGACTACTAAATCCCGCAAAGATATTTTATTCATGGATTCAAGCTCACTGGATACAGAAATGCATCTTTGTTTAGGCTTCACTTATTTCTCACAATAGCCCTGATTTTAGTCTTGGCTTTGGTCCTAGTCCTGTCCTGACCTGTTTTGGCTTCAGTCCTGGTTCAGTCCTGGTTCAGTTCTAGTTTGAGTCATGGTTCAGTTCTAGTTCAGTTCGAGTCCTGGTTCAGTTCTTGTTGCTGTTGTGTTCGCGTTCTTGGCCACACGTCTCTTCTCGGCTCCAAACCGCAAATGTAGTTCTTTTGACACTCACACCCTTCCCCATGGGGCACCGCTTCCTGTTTGCCCCCGGGGAGATTTACTTCCTGTTTTCCCTGGTGACATCATGCTCCTCATCCAATCAGCTGTCAGATCGCAGCTCCGGGCCAATCAGATCAGAAATATGCACAAGGACAACAGCTGGAGGCAGTTTGAGAGATAAACATTTGCTCCTTTGATGCTGGCCGATACAGTGTGTACTCAAAACACAGTATTATATCATGGTCTTTTATTACGTCCAATTAACTCT